TTTGAAGTCTCTTCCTTTTTCTAAATCAAATATCAAGTATTAAAAAGGAAAGACTGCCCTGCTCTGAAGAACTCCTAGTCATTTTGTAAGTGTAAGTTGTACGTTTTCATATATGTGCTAGAAAAACATTAGGAAGTTATTCCAACATTTATCAGCAGTCGAGGAGATTGATAAGTACATACCTCTCAAGTCTTTGGATTTGTTCCATCAAAGACCACTTCTCACTGTTTAACACACTAATTTGATCTTCTAATTTTTGCACTATTAAACATTGCTAAACACAAGATAGAAACAAAAGAGTTTAGTACATTAAAGTTAAGTAGTGCTGCAAACAGCTGAAACATTTCTTTTGTACAATCTCTTACTTCTATTGACTGTGGTGTTGTTTCAAATACAGGGACGCTCCCAAGTATAGGAGTAGCAGCCTCTAACTCATCATCTTCTACACCAACTGATACATCCACCACATCTCTTGCAGTAACATGATGGTTTCCAAAGTCACGATAGAGTTGTAACAGGTCAGGAGGTTTTGGAATGTTCAATCCTACATCATCCCAAAGTTCAAAATCCTTCAAAAGAATAAAGAGAAGCTAAAGCATACAATATACTTTCTTTTATTTTCGTTTCTCTTCCTCATTTGACTGCAGGTCATACAACAGCAAAATAATCGCGTCAAGATTGCACTGTAGTAAAGGAGATGGAAAGCTTAAATCAGATAGCAAGAAACGAAAGTAGAAAAAGGATCCATTTCATGACCCAAAGCAGTTTCACCCTAAAGGCAGCTCTAGGTAATGTACTAAAGAGAGGACCTTCCAAAAACACATAGATCGCAATTTTTTTTTTTTTCTAGGACATGTACACTTTTTAGAATCAGATATAACGTTGATCAAATTCTAGCATAAGCCAGTACAGTTGACAGAAGGCTTTCTACTGATAGGGGTATTGTTTTGTTCCCATCCCATTCACAAGTACAGGTGTAATTTTCCAGAAGCAGTCAAATAGCTCTGTAGATGACTGACAGACGGTGCATGTTGTCAGTGAAATCTGGACATAACTGTATTAATTGTGTAGAGGTGTAAACAATACTAGGGCCTCCTGTCTCAAACCATCACTGTACGTCCTTCCTTTTCTCACTGACTTGCTAACATCCTATTATTACAAGACTATCGCATGTCCATATATATAAATAAGCATGTGCACTGTTATATAGGAGTTGTGATGGTCTCTTTAATGACATTAAATTTCAATTTTTATTTTTTTTTCCTACTGCTCACAATTTTCACTATATTTTTCTATAGTCTGTTTACATACACCTATTCGAAGAAAGATTATTTTCTGAAAGAATGATGTGAATAATTTAGAAAAAAAATGTGCATTCTATATGTTAATTGTAGTATGTTTATATTTACTTTTTAGAATTAAGAACTTGCCCGGTGTTTTTTTGCTAACTGTCTTACAACATAAAACATTTTCAGTTGAGAAAACATAAAAAGTAAGGATAAATTATTCATCTTTTTTCTTTTTGGGGCGGTATCCTCAACAAGTATTTGTATGAAAACTAGCACTGTTAAATTTTAAGTGGATGATACAGAAATTTGATTTAACAACCCATCTTCTTTACAGATTAGGATATGAATTGTAGGAAAAATATAGGAGGACTAGTTATAGTTAGAACTGGTTGAAATTCAGTATTTAATATTGAATTCAGTATTTAATTCTTCTGGCAATATTCCAGTTTTGTGCCGAATATATATTGGGTATATTAATGTTACTGGGTGCTTTGTTCACCCAGTAACAGTCAGAATGCAATTAGAACCTTCCAAACATTTGAAGAAATTCTTCCCATGAAATGAAAGCCAATAAAGACATAAAACTCATCATCTTAAGCAAAATGCATCAAAGCACAGCTATGTTTGGAAATATATAACACCTTATTACCGAGAGCTTCTCCAAGACTGTATTCAATGCTACAGTATGATTAAGTATACTCATACACGTATATATGCCCAGATGACGACCAACAATGAGAATATTGTATATCCTGCACAAATCAACTGAGTATGATTTAAGGAAAAGATTACATTCAAAATTTTACTACATCCAGATCCTAGAGTTTAACTGAAAGGGTGTCCATCAGAACCCAGGAAAGTGTATAAGTACCTATAATTCACAGTATTTTTCCTCTTGTTTTGCTTCCTTTAAAGAATGCAAGCATTCTGTCTCCTTCCTACAAATTTTGGGAAAATACTCCTCAAAGTGCTGGGTTTTCAAACCATGCTTTATATATGAAAATGCTAACTAACACATTTAACTCTCGGAATACTCATGTGTATGAAGTGAACTACATGCACAGGAAATACCATTTAAGTTCACTTGAGTTTATGATAAGATCAGAAAGCAGGCACGTTAAAAAAAAAACCAAACCAACAAACCTTTAGAAAGAAAACTTTACCTGATCATGATTTTCATCTGAAAATGTTATTGATGTAAGCTTGTAACTATTCTTCAATAAAAATTCATTAACTAGGAAGTTTAGAGCTCTTTTCTCAAGAGGTCTGATTGGCTCCTGGAAAAAAAGAAAACAATACACTACATGTTTCGTTCATCTTCCTTTCAACTATGGAAGCATATCCATCTTAAAGTCCATGCAAAGCTCAGTTGTCACCAGCCACCTACCTGAATTTCAGGACTTGATTTATAATTTTTTCGTTCCTGCAAAGGAACTTCATTTTCTGGGGAGGAAAAAAAAGTAACTAAATTTTACTCTTTCACACAGGATGAGCTCAGCTACTTCTACATTGTTCAAAGTAGAGACTTAAGAAAAGGTTTATGTACACCACCTGCAGCCTGAGTCAGGTTGGCTCGGAGGGCCTGTATGGTCTCCTTGGCTTTCCGCAGTTCAAACTCCAGGACTGGACAGGGATTTGGATTAAACACACACAGGCATCCAACCAAGGCAAGGGAAACAAAAATAAAATATAAAAAGCAAGGATGGGTGTGAAAAAAAATATACAGTTTGTATTAAACAGAAAGCATGCAATCTTTATGGAACTTATGAACACATGCAGCAGAGTTGGTCTGAAGGCAAACTGGTGAACATTTTCCATAGTTTCATTGGCCTTAAGTTAGCTAAGTCAAAATTTCAAGCTGTCTGACAAGGACTCGCTGTAGGGTTTTGGGGTCTTTTTTTCTTTCTCTTTTTTTTTTTTGGCTTGCTTTTAACTTTGCATATTACTGGGAAACGCTTGTTATTTCTTCCCCACTCTGACAATCAGCTGATGCTGTCAAATGTTTTGTTTTCTTGGGGCAAGGGGAGTATGCAGGCAATCGGAGGACAGATGTAAATGAAGCAAATACATGCTAGCAGCAGAGGAAGCTGTCTCCATGTAGCAAAGCTTAAACCATGAAGTGAATGTGCTGTCTCATTGAGACTACGGATTTTTTTTTTTTTTTTTAAAAGAAAATTATACACTGAAATTTTAGTAGTTTAAGTGGTAGAACTTGAAACATACTTTACTACTAAGAATAATCTCATTTTAAATCTCTGTTCAAAAATAGTGGAGTTTTAGGAATACCCTAGAGTCAATTAAGGTTTTGAATTTAGTTGGATACATTTAAGAGATGCACAAGACCAAAGAAAAGCAAAATATGCAGCTCTCCTATAGTACTTACAGAGAAGCTTGAAACAAAAATGCCTTTGCTCCATTATTCTTAAAAGTTTCCAGTGATTCTAGACTATACAACACTTCCAGTGATCTACAGTCAGCCTTAGAGATTAAAAAATATGTAATTCTAGCTGCCGTTATCACCTGCGCCACCTCCCCACCCCCCTGGTCACTGTTATGTGTTTCTCATGTTTCAATGTTTCCTCCAAAAAGGGCGAGCAGTGCTTTGTTTGCACTGGAATTTCATGTGTTTTGATGTTGAGGTATACTGTGGCTTCAAATTTTAAAACCCTGTACCTTTGCAAAACATATAGCAAATTTTCTTTTTATAACCATTTACAGTTAGAGCATCTAAGGGAACCTATTTAAGGAATTACCACTAATTCTCATTAATTAATTCAATTATTTCATTAATTCTCAAATTAATCTAATCACACTTAAATATACAGTTACCAGAAAGAAGGATTCTTGTACTTAAATAGAAGAGATGAGCACAGAACAGCTACCATACTGAAGTGTTAAACTATTCTGAACAGGTTATCTAATGTTTACTTTATTCCCATGCAAAACTAAAAGTGTTGTAGCTGCTTTTAATAAGAAAATATTAATGAGTTTTTTAATCATTGCCTGGAAACAATTTAACATGGCATTTTGAAATATTTACAGAGGACAATGCATGGCAGAAACACTGCATTGGCTCTAGCTTGTAAGAAATGCTACTGAAGACTACAAATAAAATGGTTTCCTCTTTTGAACATCTGTTCTAAGAATCTTTTGATAATTACCACGCATGGAAAAAAAAGATTCACTCAGTTTGCATTTATCCATAAAAACTGAAGGAGTAACTACAGTACACCACATTTGCTACATGAAAGTAACTTGTTTGATGCACAGAATTTTACTGCAGCGATACAAAAGCGCAACTGAGGATACAATGAATAAAATATGTAAGATCTCTCTAGTATTCAGCAATGCTGATCTGCAAATACTTCTGTGCAACAAAGTTAGAAAATGCTCTTATAGTAAAGTATCTAATAATTTTAGCACTTCCTTGCATTTGAGTTACTAATTCACAGTTACGATTCTAAGTTGTCAGCTACTAATTTGTTAGGTTTTGAAAACTGTAAAGAATTCAAATTAAGTAATTCTTCTGATGGAAATGACTATGTGTTAACATTTTATTCGTGTCAAATATTTTCAAAGACCAGAACAGTTGCAGATCAGGAGTGCCCTGCACTAGAATGATATAAATAATAAAAAAAAGTTAGAAAAACAACACAAACGAGAAAAACTCAGGAATCCCATTAAGGAAAATAGGAGTAAGACATGTCTGAAGGCGTAGAAAGCCGAAAAACTCATGTCAGACAAACCCATGTCAGACGGCAAGAATTAATTTTTAGTGAACTGTCATGATGCTGAAAATTCTTAGAAGCCATTAGGACTTTACCCATTCAACCTTAAAAGTAGATTACTCTGCTGCATGTTTCTCTGTATACAGTGGAAGATTCTGGACATAGTATATTTGAGAAGTTGTCACTTCGCAGCATGTCAGAACAGCCACATAATTCTACTACAACACAGCATTGTTACAATTGTACCTCATCTCCTAGTCTTACTAATGCCACCATACAAACCTTGATGCATCTAAGTCAGTCACAAATTTAGCTTTTATTTGAAGAAGTTTGTTTGTAGGTTTTTTATATAAACATAAATATTTGAAATTATGTTGTAGCTATTTACAATCAAATTTTAAATTATGATTAAAAGCTCTATTTTAGAAGCTGTACTGAAATGCAACCTTTTGCCAAAATATGTAATGATTTTTAACTCAACAAGTATACTAATGAAATCAACACTGGAAATCCCCATTTGTTGGTGACATGACATTCTCTTAAATAAAAAAAGCAACCTCTAACCCCTTTCTTTGTAACCATTGTCAAGTACTGACTTTTAAAGCAAATGAGCTGATCGATCTCTCCCCCTCTCCTTCTGTGTGAAGCTTATGTACCTTAGAGAAGTTAAGCCTTCAAAAGCATTGATAAAGCCAGCTAAAGTTTAACTTCATGCTTGACTGAACTGATAACATGTGTAACTCATAGTACTTGGTCAAAGGATCTGACACTCCTTAAGAACGATGCACAGAAGAGTTTTGCTGCAGACAGGCTAGGAAAGGAAAGAACCAGATTGATTCTCCTCTACATCAGGAAAGCAGAGAACAGAAATTTAGAACTCTGAGGTCGGTTAATCTTCCTACAAGGAAAGGGCATTTCTGAACAATCTGTTTTGCCTTAGGGGAGAAAACTGTTCTGAATTCAAGTGTCTCTCCTGCTTTTTCTTTTAATAAAGAACTCAAATCACTACAGCTACCATTCTGAAAAACATTACTTAGACTTACTTAAAAGAGCTGAATCTTTCAAGCAAGCAACTAAGCATTAGACCAAGGTTTTCAGATTAATGATTTTTAAATGTTTCCGTTTTCATGCAGCTAATCTAATACACCTTAAAAGAGAAGTGCATATCAGGAGTGGGTAGGCTGTCTGCTCAGCTTTGAAATTTAAAAATGAAGCTTTCTCAAGGATCTTATTCTATTCACCCACATTTGTTAATGACTTCATAAGTTATTGAACCATAGATTGAGAAGTTAGCTATAAAGAACAACCTGTGATTTGGGATATTGAACAAGTTGAGATCTACATGAACAGCAGTCTTCTTAGGCCAAGGCCAAAAAGTTGAAGAAATGAACTTCTAAACTTCTAAAAATTTTCAGTACTTGCTTTCATACAAGCAGTATTCTTTCCAATTATACTAGAATTTTACATTCTACATATGAACTATCTTGTCAGACTTTTGCATACTTCAGTACGAAGTACTTCAGACAACAGTAGAAAGGTAGTTTTATGCTGTGAAGCCACTATATGGCATTCTGGCATTTTCTTTTAAAAGTAGTTCTCCTCTGAAGTATCATGGGCCCCTGTGCTTACCTAGTTTTCCTCAAATTGGACGTAGTTACAGGTTTTGTTGTTGTTTGCTTCTTAATTGTCATTTCAAGTTCTTCCTCCTTATAAAGTAAATGTAGACCTCTAGATGTCCGAAATTATGCCCTCTAAAACATGTCTGACATCCCATTACATTTGATGGATTTGTGCATACATTTTGACTCAATCAGAAGTTTAAATTCTCTGCCTGTAGTTAGCAATGAAGCCACTATCACAACATACTTCAAGACCTGAGGTTTCCTAATTCCCACTTCCCTGATACAAGTCCTAAGAAGAAAAAAAAGTGACCATATTTACAGTCAGTGTGAAACACCTCAGGACGTAACACAAATAGACCTGAATCAGAAAGCTGTACTACAGCATGAGAGATGACTATCAAGCTACAAAAATTATGATCAGCATGAGAGTTCATGAGCAAGCTAACAGAGAACTTGTTATCATTCTAATAGTGGGAAGCCAACACTTGACTCATTAGCCTCATTAATGCTTTTAAGTTAATGAGACAGGACCAGCTACAGAGAAGTCCTGAACTACAGCAGACTTGTCTTCAGGTTCAAACCTTGGAGACTATTGACCTGGAAGGAAATTAAGGAGGCTTACAACTGCTTAACAGGGCTTAAGACAGGAGAGGGGAAGACAAAAGCAGACCTACTTCCAGGATGAACAAATTGAACACACAACGTTAGCAGATGATTGTATTACAGATGCCTTTTGTGTTTTGTTTCTGTTTTGTTTGTTTAAGATTCTCCTCTGATTTTGATTGCACACAAGTAATAGCACTTATTAAAAACATAAACAAAAAGGCTCTATAAAAAGCAGAAACTGCGAACCTAAGTCTAGATAAATTAAATCCTCAAAAATAATCAAGTGGTTTTTGAACTTGTCTCTTCCCTTCAAATCCTGACAGGGACAGTATTTCATTCTGCTAATCAGGGATACATAGTCTAGCCAAAATCAATGCTAATGCAGGGAGATCTGAGAACACAAATGATTGAAATGCAGTTTGATTATGAGAATTACTTTTATTATCATTGAAAACACAGCATTGTGTTTTTAAAATTATCAGATTCTCAGAACAGTAGATGTCAAAGGCAGGTTAGCAATACTAAACATTTTGAATTATGGAAAGTAGGGGTTTTAGATCACAAACATACTTGTGCACACAGTCAATTTAAGACGTAGCAGAAGATTCAGTTCCTTAGATTGAGTGTCAGATGACCTATTTACATCAAATGCTGTGGGTATTTGACTTCAAGTTAGGCATACTCTTATTCCACAGGAATGGAACAGGTTTTCCATTCTCTGGTTGTTTTAAGAAAATGAGTATTTGGAGGAGGTTTACTAAGCCTAATAAATACTTCAAGTACTGACTTTATCTTAGCACCGTTTCAGCACTTCATACATGAATTTCGATTCAAGACTTACTAGTCTTAGAGAACGAGTTGTTTCCATCTAGTAAATTGCAAGCTCTAAGGATGCATATGTTTTCTGACACTCTTCATGGATTACAAATGTATTATCCAATTTGTTACACAGCTCTCTACATTTATGTTAAGATTCACGTTTAAGGAAGAAAATGGATGTTTTCTAAATTGCAGTTAGTTTTGTCATGCTCACATCCCAACTGGCTTTTGTGACTTGCAGGTTTTCAGTCAGGCTGATAATAATATTATAAAAGAGACTCACTTCACTTCCTTCGATCAGATTTCCCAAGAGACAGGTTCACATCAACTCTTCAAAACATGTTTGCTTCTAGGCCAAATTTTGATTCTAACACCAGATGGAATGAACTGGGCTAACAGATTTGAAATACTGAAATCCATTTCAAACAAGAGTCTTTCTAGCTATTTCCAGGAATTTTTAGATTGGTTAAATTAAAAAAATGGCAGCTAAGTCTAACACCATCCATAACAGCAAAACAGAAATATGATGGCTTTGTATGGCATACATGCATATTTTTTGACTTGGTGCTTTCTAACATTGCCATGGTATGGAAGTATTTGTAACTGGATACGTTATAAGTTCAGTTTTAAAGTCCTTCTGACTCAGGACCAGTTTCTTTTAGTGACTGATGTGCGTTTATTTCCTATCCTTCATTTGACATTTGACTAGAGAATTGATATGGAAATCATGGGTTCTGTCCAAACAGTACAAAACAAAGATAACAGCATGAGAAAGGCATTTACAAAAAGAAATTATTCAAACCTCACTCTGAGAACTATCAAAAGAAAAATATGACTATCAGATCATGGCCTCAAGCTTTCACAACAGATTACAATTTTACCTCCTCAGCATCAAAGTTCTTTGCTGAGAAGAAAGAATATGACAAGAAATAAGCAGGATGGACTTCCAGTTATGTTTCAAAGTGCATTTGCAGCTAAGAACTGCTTCAAAAGCAGAAGTTATAAGCCAGAGTTTGTTCAAAGAAGGAACTGGATATGAAAAGTTTTTGAAATCTCTACTGACATAATTTTTTTACGTGCAAATTAAATACTTACCAGTTTTCTGAAGTTTATTGCTCAGGTAGATGGTTTTAAACAGAACTGAGGCAAAAGATTTTAAGCAATTATAACTGAACCAGAATTTTAAGTAGAAATAGGACATTTTGGAAAACTTCCTAGTCTCTACAAACATCCAGAAATAATATCCGGTCTTGCCTTGTTCAAGTTCTTATGTTACTTTTTAACAACTCTTTGAAAACCTCTCTAAAGGAACACAGAAATGTAATGTAAATACCCTGCCATATAATTTGTCTATTACATACGACAGTGGTCAATTAATATACTGCAATCTTCAAAAATCTCTATCTATTTTAGGATGTACTTAATTAAGTTTAATATTTCATTTTAGGATATATTAATTTCACACTGGAAGTAATAAATATTTTGTCATTAATGCTCCATCAGAAGATTAAAGGTTCTACTGGATGTCAATTCTGACTGGTCTTTACTTTCCATAAGCATCTCTAATCTAATTCAGTTACTAAAGGCAGCACCAAGCAAAGATCAAACTAGCGCTCTCAGTAATACTATTGCCAAGAAATATTGACTAGAAACAGGAAAAATCTACCAAGATGATGAAAAAATTAAAATATTTGGAATTTGCTTGTTTCTTCCTTGTATTCCAGGACAGAATTCAGAAATACTTGGGTTCCTTAAACACACTTTGTTTAGAAGATTAGCTGTGTATTTATAACTATTGCCCCTTGAAACTGACTACATATATCGAAAAAGACAGTAATTAGATAGTAATAAGTTTCTGGTCAAGTTTCCATATAAATTGAACAACAGCAAGTACCTATAGTTCCAGACCAGAGCACCAAAATACCTGAATTTCCTTCATGTTCATGAATTTAATACAGTCCTTTACCAAAGAAACACTGGCTGGGTAACAAAAATTGTATTTTCCCAAAACTTTTGTTTCTTCTCTCTGGCTCAATACTGGTTACCATTTCAGACTGACCGAGAGAAGAAATTTCAGACTCAAGATCCTTTAGAGAAATATGTTTCACCAGCCTTTTCTTTGCCTAAGAACATCACAGTCTTTCTGCTAGGATGAATCATGGTGGTTCAGAGCAGATACAACAGCGTGGAACAGACATAGCAGCTTGCATCATTTCAGGTTTTATAAAGCTAAACTATGTGATCAAAGGTCACAGTGTGGACAACCTTCATGTGCTCATGATATTAAACAGTATTAATTGACAAGAAGTAAACAGAGTTCTGTAGCAGTTTCTAGAGAGCTTTTATGGGTTTCTCTATAAAAGCTCTGAATAACTTAATATCTGGACTTAGAAAAAAGCCTGGATTAGAGAAACACAGCTCACGTGCAAAAGAGATTATTATAATATCTTCAAATATAAGAGAAAAGCAGTCTCTGCCTTTGGCAAGATAATCAATCGTAAATCCTGAAATTAAAAATGCCACAGGCTCCTAAGTTCAGAACAACTGCAAGAGGCAAAAAACCCCATCACTTCAAAACGATCTTATACAATGAAGAAATCAAATGGGAGAGAAAAGCACTACAATTAAGATTTGTAGCAAAGAAGATTTATGGAACTGAGAAAATCCCAAATTTATTCTGCATTTGGTAATGCTTGTTTGATCTACACGTAAGCTATATTTAAGAGATGACTTGCTACAGATCTTTACATCAGAAAGCTATCACCCATGTAGCAGTGTCAAACTACTACATAGAATATTTTAGCATATGTTTCAGCTAAACAGTAGTAGTCAGAAGGCAACATCAAGATACTGTTCCACTGTCAAAAACTGGGCACAATTTTCAAGTATACTGCTTGCTTCTAACCTGGTGACATCTGGAATCATACAGAAGTACACCTGCCTGAATATTTACAATAATTATAGTAGAAGTGTCTGAAACATTATTATATCATTAAGTGACTAGTTAAACCACCACAGTGAAGTCTTGTCATCTTCAGGAATGTTCATTTAAATATACTTATGCTAGAAACAAGTCAAACAGTAAAGTTAGCATTCTGTGATTCCTAAATCATACGAATAACTTACCTGCTACTCTTTCGTCTGTTTCCCTATTGCCATCATCAGAGTATCTTGCAAAATCTAAGGAATCAAGAGTACTGATGCTTCCAGCACGGTCTTAAGGGAGGAAAAAGAAAAAAATACATAAGAAAAAATCCTGAAGAGTTGACTGGCTTTGCTAGAGAAAGTCAAAACATCTTCTCATTTCAGAAACTATAAATCAAAGGCTAAGTGTTCTGCAAGACTGAAATTTTACTGCATTTTCTAAAAGTCTGCCTCTAAGTATAGAGTATGTCAGTAAATTTGAAGAAAAATACAGCATTACAGCAAGTTCAGTGAACAGACACTGTAAGAAATTCACCCTTGGTCCCCCCAAAAGACGGCACTTCTACCCTGTCCACAGCAGATGAGGTGCAGTGCAGTGTAGCACTTCCCCTTTTCCACAAAGGCCAGGGACCTTTGCTTGGACAGGCAGGTGAGCACGTACAAGAAACCGCACAGATACAAACTGTTCTGCAACAAGTTTCAAGCAGTTCTGTTCCTATTTTACAGAAAACTAACTGCCCCAAATACGCTACTTCCCTTTCCCTTTTTTAGTATTTTAAGGCATATTCATGTTACCAAATACTTTTCTACATATCTCCTGATCTAGCCACTAACTTCAGTGCATACCCACTTAATACAACATTTATTTTATTAAGGAACGCATTACTTAGTAAAATTAAAGCAAAGCAAGTACAGTTCATGCTATTGCAGGTGTAACATTTACACTCTAAAATTAAATTGTTAATAAAAAAAAACATTCAAGAAATTCAGTAACCATCATAAGGTTTTGATCTGACCTTGACATTTTTCATTTCAGGGAGGGGGGAGATCAAACAAAATGCAATTTTGATAATTTCAAGTCTGTTGAAGCAAACATTTACCTTTTTATTAGAAAAATCTGCAAAGAAATTACTCAGTGACAGAACCCAAAATAAATAGAACACATTCCTAACACAATTGAACATGCAGAAATTATATTAAGGAACTTAGTATCTTTCCCCTCCTTTTGAAATTAATTTCTATGTAGCACTTCAGAAATAATTTTAATTACATTAGAGCTGTTGTCGCATTAACAAATTCCATAGGGCTGTCAAAAAAACCTCATAACTGTCAGTGGAAATAGAAGCAATTTCATCACTTGTCAGTCAAATTCTGTCATGACTAACATCACAGAAAGTATTTAAACCACCCCCAATTCTGCATATGCAAAAAACAAATCTATTAATGAATTTCTTTCTTGTACCTTTGAGCCTAAGTTGTCCCCTAGGGTCTTATGACACCCTCTCTACATACAGGCCAGCACTAGACTGAAATAAGAACTGGATTGAGACTGATTAAAGCATCGACACTCACCTGAAAAGCTACAGAGAATACTAAATTTGCCAACTCTAGCTGAGTTACACAGTACCAAAACTAAAGTGCCTGGTAACCCTAACTTGTCTGTTTTATGGACATAAAGTATAGATAGTATACAGGTTATATTTAACCACAATTTTTTTCCCCATGACTATGCTTTGTCATCCAGGCAATGAAACAGACTGTTGCTCCTCAACAAGTCTCTATTCAGTATTTAGTTTTAAAATTCACTGTTCATTTGCAGGTTCTGGTCTTATCTACTGCATTTTTTCCAGACATTAATCTGATTTAATAATTCTCTCTAGGCTGTTCTATAGCACTTAGCAGCATAGTACAAACTCTTATTTTTACAGTGTCTTTGCAAAATTGACCACTGTGAAAATAAACCAGATTTTATATACAGGGAACCACATTTAGGGTGGTTAAGTTCAAAAGTAAACATGAATTTTGCATGCACAGCACGAAAGTCTTCAGAGCTGACTTTTCAAAACACCCAACACCTTGTTCAGTAAGTACTGCTCCAATTTATTTCATTGGGAGCTGCAAAATCATTTTCGGAAATCAAATTCAAGACTCTAGTTAAAGAAACAGACAACATTCAAATAGAGATCTTAATGAAAAGCTGAAGTTCAAGAAAAGTGACCCAGTCTCACATATAGCATCGCTATGGCAAAAGCAGAAATACAACTCTCTCTCTTCCTGCAGTCTTGCCATGTTCACAGATCAATTCTCTTTCTCTCTTATGAAGCAAGTAACATCAGAGAAACAATGCTCAAATTTGCAGGTTAAGTCAACCACATCATAATTATTGAAGCATCCAAAGCTGTAAGCAACAAAACCTTTTTAATATGATTAGTGGCACGCTTTAGAGGCAAAGGCTCTCCCCCCACAACCGATAAAACAAATCTAGCCATAAAACACAAACTTATTTGCCAAAGCAGCCCGAAACTTCTTGAAAAAAAAAAAAACCCCAGTTGTCTAGAAAAAAGCATGGGGTAGTCAAAGTCTATATCAGGATGTACACAACGGAAGCCATTTAAGATCATACCAGAGCTGTAAATCCAGCAATTCACAATTCCCAACCAGTGAATATCAATCAGTTTTACAACCTTAAGAGTCCTTAAAGAAACTAAATAAAACCAAGGGGTTTTATGATTTTAACACTCAGAAACTGCCTGAAGCACCACATCTACATGCACAGCAGCAATCTGTAGGGTTGAAACTTGTACATTCACCATTTAGATTTTCCTTATCATTACAGTGTTCATGGTAACAGCAAACGTCTGACACACCCTTTACATACAGGTTGGCATTATAAAGAGACACAAATATCTGGATTCAGATTGATCAAACTAAACGAAGATGTGCTGAGGAACACCAGCCTCATGGCCTGTTTCCTGCTACCATTATTTCCCTCTCTTAGTAATGCTGATCCTCCTTCCCGTTACAAAAGTACCTGCCCCAGTCATCATCATCCCCCAAGCATGCTGTCATTACTAAACCAAGCCAATTTGGGTGCTAGAAGTCATTATGTCCACAGTGTTCAATCTGAAGATCAGGCTTAAAATGAAGAACTGTCTTTATGCATTGCATTGGTGGAACCTGAATCTACACAGAGAACTGTGTACAGCTATCCAAACAAATGCTGAAGGAAATGAAACAGTAACAGAGACAACTGTATACATACACAGGTTGAACAGTATCTTCTCAATTGGGTGTCCCACTGGATGATACATATTGCAGAACTCAATCAAGTTGGGAATTATAGCTTCCATAACACAACTCAAACTACATGGTTAGCTTGAATAATGTAACAAGACTTCTACCACTACGTTGCTATAGGATACTGCCTTTAAAATATATGGTGTGGCTACAGAAGTGGTTCCTGCTGTTAAGGTAAGAGGCCACCGGTGCTGAAGCACTTCAGCTGAGACATCTCCTGGCCAGACTGGCTCCGCAGGCATCAACGAATCACCAGTGCTAAGGTTATACACTGCCAAGTTCCAGCTACAGGGAAAGCCCAGTCACAGACACTGTTGCACTGCCACAGCTCCCACTGAAGCAGGTGTTTCAAGCAGCAGGAAAGGAAGCGATGCAGGAGCTGCTCCCTCTGCCTCCAGTGCTTGTGCAGCTACTTGTTTCTGCCACCCACCTGGAAAGACAGGCTTCCACCACAGCCAGGCTGGGTGAGGTCCAAATGGCAGCTTCACCCCCTTCCACTCATACTGCAAAGCCTGTAGTGCCACATGGCCCTTGCCTGCCTTGGCTATACCGCAGTCTCCGCCCCAAGGCACAGCGGCTGCAGAGCCAAGGCTGAGGGGAGAGCAGGCAGCAAAGGGACCTGCTGCTTCTATCAAATGACACGGCAGCACTAGTGACCTGGATCTTGCCCCACTGGGACTAGGCAAAATGAATTTTGGAGCCATTATTGCACAACATATTGAAGCTTCTCAAGGAACAGAGCCAAGCACCGCACAGGAACTTAGACAGTGGGTTTAAACAGCAGAGGGATTTCTGATAGAGCCTACTAAGGTATCAGCCATGGGATAACAAGGTGAGAAGAGAAAGCTAAATGAGACAGTTAACTGAAAATATCACAGGAAGGTGAGAGCTGGCAAGCCCCCAGATACATCATCAACAGTAGAGCCATGGCACTCACACACTGCCTGGCAGGGCTGTGCTGAAGACTGCCCAAAGCTGAACAGTGGCAAGCCCGCCCCATCGCTTCACCTACCTAAAATGTCACCGTGGGGGTAACTGTATCTGTTGCCTCACTCCTTAGCACTGTCTTCGTAGGCAGTCATCTGCAGAGGTTTATCTCCTACAGCTAATGCCATCATCCAGAAAATTACAGAATAACATCTTATAACCTCAAATCTTACGCTTCCATAAAGGATGTACCTGCTTAGCACAGGATCAGAGGGTGAAAACGGTACCTCCCTGCTGGCAATGCAATGGCTTCATTCACCAGGAAAACGAGCAGGGCTCTTTGAAGGAGAGGAATCGGCAAGGGAAGGGCTGTGCTCAGCCATGTAGCTCACCTAAGCAATATGAAACATCACCATTTTTCTGAAGTACAAATGGTTGTACTCCAGTACACTGAGTGGACGTATTTCAACTAAAGCATTCAGAAAAGAGAACTGCTTTCTGAACTGAAAGGGAAAAAGAAAAAAGAAAAAAACCCAAAGTTTTTAGGAAAACAACTTATATTTCTTCACTTTATTTTTTAATACAAAATAAAAATTTTAGGTTTAAATTATTTGGCAAAAAATAATCAAAGTAGAATCTTGCAGGGGGAAACTGCTGAAAAGGAGAAGTACGCTTTGGCTGAATTCTGTTTCTTTTCTAGAAAAAAACCCAATGTGACACAGCAGTGGGAAGCCATTTTGCTGTCATGATATGCACATTCTTACCAACAGTCTTCCGTGCATCGATTTTATATTTCTTTCTCTGGTATTCTGAATTAAAACTTTTCTTTCTAATCAGCAATTCCTTTTTGTTAAAAGCTTTCCTAGCGAACAATGAAAAAATAACTGCTGTCAGTTTAATGTTTCAGAAATGGTAAAGCAACATAACAAGAACAGTTTTGACAAGCCGGTATAAACAACTCCAGAAAGCACATCACTGCAATATGGAACAAGAGAGTGCCACAGGTGCATAGAAAACAAGTGAAATAGGCTTAAGCTTTTCATAGCTCATACTAGTGAAATGCCAAGAGATAGACTGGGATAGTAAAAGAGAGCCTTGTGCATAGTTCTTGTCTCTTACCTCTACCACTGGAAAAGGATTAACAAAATCAGAAAGCTAAGTTTTCTATTTGATACTCAAAGCTACAATGTTTTTTAATCCATTTGTTGAAAAATGCAGTGTTTTTAATTTCATTTGTGAAGTTAAAAATCATGTTCACCACCACGTTTTGCTTATTAACTTATACAATCTTTTAAAATACTGCTTCACTCCAGAGGAAAGGAATTTTAATTCCTTTCTTATTCCCAGAACTGTCACCTGTATGACATGCAGATTTCTGCTGACAGCTTCTGTTCCCTAAGCATATTCAGCTCTTTCACTGGAAGTTGAGTTTAACTATATAAGGAGGAAAATGTAAAAAAAAAAAAAAAAAAAATCTCAAAACAAAGTGATACATCCCCTTTCACTGACATACGTAATATGAAAGAGGTTAAGTTTCATTCACTCTGACGGTAAAAACAGATTATTTTTACCAGCTTACCTAAAGGGACACCAAGAGGGATCATATTAGCCATAGTTTCACAGTACATGAATTAAGCAGAAATAAGTTGCAGTCTTCTACAAAAATACATTAAATAATCTTTACACGAGCATAACATTGTAAATCAGCTAAAACCAGACAAACCAAGCGATACTAGTTCTTGATAGAAAGGCTCAAGAAAAAAAAATTAAAAAATATTTCAGAAGCTATTTTATATTACTTTGCAAACTTCTAAATTTATTTTAAAAATTACTAGTTGGTAAAGCAACCAATAAATTGTCATATTTTCTCTAAGATCACAGAAAATCATATCATCCTGTACTAACAATTAACCAAACGGAACATACGAAGACCAAGAACTCCATCTTTTTCCTTGAAATTCAAGGAGAAGTAATAATGATGCTACGCTTGCACAAGACAAATTCATTTTGCATCTCTAAGTGTTCACTTCTACTGAAAAATACTTGCAACAACCCTGAAACAAGACTGTTGCCGTATTTTAAACTGATGAGCGAAATAGCTGGCTAACCACATTTTAAACTGATCAGAGAAATAACTGGCTACTGGAAATTTGGTTTTGATGAGCATCCATATGGAACAAGATGCAGTACAAAGTGAATCCTTCACAACCAAGATCAGAGCAGCTTTCCGCTGGATATTCCACATACTAGGACAAAAAAAAAATCTTTCCCAGTTTAAGCCAGGCTTTACATGAATTTTTTGGTTATATGTAGGAAGACAGCTGTAGGCAGACAGCTCACAGATATCATAGGAAGATACAACCTTTTTTGGAGATAGTAAAAGTCCAAAGTCCATCAGTCTGGATAATAACTTGTGCCTATCATGCTGTTACAGAACCATCATCTAGACTCTTCAGGAATCCATCCTCACACACCACTCTTCAGAGAAGAAGTAAAAAACCCACTACTTTGCATTAAAAAAAGAGAACAAAAAACACTATTTGAAGACATTATACCTGATTGTTTAATATAGTTCTACTTGTCATGTACTGTAGCCTTACTAAACAGAACACGCAGCATACCACAGGCTTGGAAAAAACTGCTATGAACATTGTTCATGCTACTGGATACAACAAAAGATTTATGTAGAGAATTCTGAATATTTATCCAAGCAGAGCTCCAGAAGCTCTGCTTGCAGAAGCATGGACTTTTTTTTTTCTTTTTTTTTTTTCTTTTTTACTTTAGAGAAAGTTAAAATGTTTTAACATTGATGTTAGAAGTATCACACAAGCAACTTGATCCACCAGAAGTAATTTCATTTGATAATAATACACTCTCTTCACTAAATTAAATTTTCACTACATAGGATTTCACTAGGGAGAAACCTTAACAAGGCCTCTCAGTTCACACTCAGGTAGAACTCTACTTACAAACCATCTCAGGTTAATGCCTTCTAGCTTCTCCTGAATAAAATCAGACGTTGAAAGTTACATAAGTGAATGACAGGCCATCAAAAATTATTCCTTAGCATCATCATCTTGATGGCTATTTCTAGAAAAGAAGAAAAAACAATAGGACTCCAGGATGCAATTCTCTGCAGCAGTAGAAATAAGTTGTACTTCATTCTTGAACTGGTCATTGAAAATTTGTTTTGTAGAACAAAATTATTAAAACAGGGAGTTGCTAGGCTTTAATTTTCTTATGAATTAAAGAAAACCCATGATAATTCAACGAACAGTCATGCTACATCTTAATATATGGCAGTAAATTAGACTCCAAGTGTTATGAACTACCATACAATGAAAGTAGTTGGGGATTATAAATGTCAGAAAACTATGTAATTACAGCTGTATGTGCGAGAATTCAAGCAAAAATTTCTAATTCTGAGATACTCTTTCAGATCTATGAAAAGTGAGAAGCTGAAAAGCCCCCACTGCAACATTTTTCAACCTACAACCCATGGACTATTACTAAGACAAGCTTTATGATAATGAAGGATGTAGTTCCATGTAACTTTAGAAAACATACAGAAGTTTTTCCTGATGAGTTGTGCTATTGTTATGAGTTAAGCTCTCCCTCCTCCCAACATAAACATACAACCCTTCTTGCATGGAGGAACCTCTAATGGAAAATTTTCCATTCAAAAGAAAATTATGTCATAAGGAGATCAAAGCTGAAACTTTAAGGGGTCTGCAAATCAAAGGTTGGGAAAAAGCTTCATATATGTCTGGAAAGGACAACAGTATAACGTATTTTATAGGGTACAGCTTATCTTCACATTTAGGACATGCAGCCTAATTTTTAAGTTCAAAGAGATACAGGCAAAGCAGCAAGTACTCTGATAACAGATCCCAATTGAGAAGTTTCCTTAGAAACTACTCAGGTCTGCCACTTTTTTCCTTTTTTCTCTGTGTTACAGGTACAATAAAAGAACTGCTGAAGTTCAGTCCTAAGGAAATGCAAGTGTATAAATACATATTTTAGATCTGTTTCTGTTGGTGGTAAAGAAGCCAACAAACTAGGTATTTTACCTACCTTAAATATTCAAGACCTAGAGTAAACTAACCCTTATGGCCATGCAACAGATGGCCTGCTATCTTCTAGAGATACACTGGTCTGGAAAAGCATGACCTTGAATAACTTGCATTTTCAGCTGTCCTGCACGATATCACAGGCACAAAACAGCAGAAGCCAAGGAAACTGGGGACAGAGACTGTTTGGAAGAAAGAATTTGTATTCTTCCTCTTGTATTTACTTCCACATGCTTAAGCCCCATATTAGTACTGAACTGCACATGTGAATTCACTACGTATGTGAATAAACCAACTGGCAAGAGGGATAGCATTCACAGAAGATGTGGAATAATGTAAAAACCTGAAGAGCTTTAATGGAGTCCTTTCTACATTAAATCAAAGAATCAGACATCATTAACACTTCAAAAATTGATCATCAATTCACAGTTTGTATTTCTGGCTGCATTAAGTAGCAGCTGAAATAGATATGTTGTGCAATACATATGAATAAATGAATTAAACTGTTTCATTCCCCATAAATGATACTGCAAATTTCTTTAAGCCTTACCAAATTTCACAAGACCACTCTGGAGCAATATTACTTTGAGAAGTCTTAAATGACTGCTGCATTTAAAACTTCTGATATGTTTCAACTTGCTCCAGGCTTACCAATGCTGGACCAGCCAGCAAAGCAAACTTGATCCATGACAGCAGATACCAGATCTAGCATAGAACCTTTATGGTAGAAACAGACTTATGTATCAATTTTTTAAACCAATTTGAACTTGCAGAGTAAATTTTACCAGATCAACACATTCCACATCGCTACGGTAACTCTGAGATGGAACTAAGAGCCTTAAAGTAATTCATTGCATCAGGCACTAAATTGTAGGCACCTAACCTATCAACCTTGTTTTGCAACTGCAAGTGCATCTTCTGTTCTCTCCCAGATGTTCTTATTCAATGAGACCTGCTGAATTTTCAAAGTTGGTATGTTCTGAAAAGAAGTCCTCAGACCATCATCAAATGAAAAGGAAACTAAGTTAAGTAAAGCTACTAGAATAAAATTAACTTTCAAGCTGTCAGAGCAATCCACTTACAAATTACCTAGAACAGGCATTTGAGATGATCAGATAATACTAGTCCATAATGGGCAATCCAAACCAGATTGAAAACAAATTATCAATACATTTACCTACTTCATATTACTAACAAGCTATGAAAATTCATAGAAAGTATATGAGGGTAAAAACCCTAAAGCTACTTGGAGAAAACTAACCTATGCTTACTAGCCAAGAACAGCAGAAAAAAATTAACCAATCACCAGATATGTAAAACAAATACTTTGCAGATACATTGCAGTAAAAATATATAACCCTCACTCCCATGACAGGCACACAGCAGAAGCTCATGAGAAAGATGAAATTACAAGTAGAAAATAGATAGATCTTGCACCCTAGCACAGAAATAACCCAATTCAGTGAGTGTGTTAAGATACAGATGTACCTGAGCTGATCTCATGGGGAGGCCATGATTAGGAGGATGATGGGGAGGCATCCAAATTAGTTGAGTCCAAAATAATTAACCTGGCCTTGCACAAAGCCATTTGAATGTTGGTGCAGTAAATACTGAGGTCCAGGGGCATATGACCTTGGGGAAAGCATCAAACCCAGCCTAGCTCCCTACATATGTGCTGCATTGCGCTTGAGCTACCAGAGCTTCCCAAAACAAAAATGCTAAGGGAGAAGCATGGCACGGAGGTACTCTTCGAGGTACTTCTTCCAGCTCAAGACCCCAGCCGGCTTCAGCAGAAATCAGAAAGCATCAATAGCACCAAATTAACTCCATATGCTCAATGTCGCAGCACTGTCCAGAGTGTATCAATTAACTTGCATTACAAGGATTTTTCCATTCTCCACAGTAACCCAGCTTTCTGTTATACTCTCTGATATCAAGCTAAGTTTTATCAGTCTAGTCCTTAAATGGCTGTCTTTGCTGAGGGACTACTTGAAGCGTATAGATAATACCCATCTTAATTCTCAAGCATTGTATTCTCTCAGTTTTCTTCATATTTCAATTCTAGTATCTTACCCTTTCCCCAATTTCTACATTTATCTCAGGACAGTAGTAAATTTTCCAGTTAAGTTTTAACAACGTGTCCACACAAATTTTATAAAGAATAAAAAAATAGTAAAAAAACCAACCAAACAAAAAACCCCTAGCTACCAGAAACCAAACCATCTCTCCTGTGAGGAAAGTCTGAGAGAGCTGGGGCTGTTCAGCCTGGAGAAGAGCAGGCTCAGGGGGGATCTCATGAATGTGTATAAACATCTGAAGGGAGGGTACAAAGAGGATGGAGCCAGGCTCTTCTCAGTGGTGAGGCAGTGGGCACAAACTGAAACACAGGAGGTTCCCTCTGAACATCAGGAGATAGTTCTTCTACTGTGAGGGTGACCAAGCACTGGCACAGATTGCCCAGAGAGGTTGTGGAGTCTCCATCCTTGGAGATACTCAAAAGCCATCTGGACATGGTCCTGGGCAACTGACTGTAGGTGGCCCTG